GCTGGAGGGACAACAATGAATGAGGTAAAAGTCTCCCAGCTTTCATGGGGCTCAAATTCTGAAATGGACAACTGCAAGTAAATAAACACAAAGGTAATTGCCAATGGCCAAGAATGCTGTAGAAAAAAACAAAACAAAACAAAACAAAACAAAAACAAGGCTAAGTTGATGCTGCTGTGAAGAGTCTTTGGTTGGAGTGGCCAAGGAGGTGACATCTGAGCCATGATTGGATGACTAGCAGGCACCAGGAAAGACCTGAAAGAATATTCCAGACAGGAGAAACAATAATCCCGACATGGTATTGCATGCTTGTAATCCCAGAGCTCTGGGACGCTGAGGCAAGAAGATCCCAAGTTCCAGCCCAGCCTGGGCAACTTAGCAAGACCCTGTCTCAAAAAAGAAAAAGAAGACAATCCCCAGTACCAAAAAAGGAAAAGAAAAAGAAAAAGAAAGAGAGAAACTGCAAAGACACCAGCGCAGCTGAAGCAGGATGAGAAAGTTGGGCAGGAAAAGGAAACCTGGGCAGGGTCTGATCACATGGGGTCCTATAGGTCCTACGAAGAAATTTAGAGTTTATTACAACTCAGTGGGACACCTCATTCGATAACACTGTGTTGGTTTTGGTCACTGCCAAATCTACAACACCTAGAACAATGCCTGGCACATCCTAGACATCCAATATGTTTACTGAATGAAAATACAGCTGCAATGAAATACAGCTGCCATCTTGGTCACATTTTCTCTAGGCTAACTAAACAATCCCAGTTATTTTAACCATTCCCTTTTGATATCATTTTGTGTCTCCCAATTTATAACACGTGATATTAAGTAAACAGCCTTTAAAAATGAATATGTTAAGGCCGAGGATTTAGCTTAGTGGTTCCAGCGCCTCCCTCAAAAGCACAAGGTCCCTAGTTCGATCCCCGGTACCAAAAAACAAATTAAAAATAAAAAAATTTTTAAAATAAAAAATAAAAATGAGTATGTTGGGGCTGGGGATTTAGCTCAGTGGTTCCACTGCCTGCCTTGAAAGCACAAGGACCTGAGTTCGATCCCCAGTACCAAAAAAATAATAATAATAAAAAAAACCAAAAATGAGTATGTTGTCTGAGCATGGTGACGCACACCTATAATCCCAGCTCTCAGGAGGCTGAGGGAGGAGGACTGCGGTGAGTTCAAGGCCAGCCTGAACTTCATAGTAAGACCTTGTCTCAAAAAAATGAAATACATAAGTAAATAAATATTAATACCATATGTCAAAAGCAGGTGAGATATATATATATATAGATAGATAGATAGATAGATATTCTCTTATAACTCTAACTCTCCCTAAAACAAAGTAAACACTAGCTGCCATAATTATGCATAAACACTTTGGCAAAAAGATGAGAAAGTTACACTTGATTTGCACTTTATTTCTTGCAACTATTTCATCTTCCACCTGAAAAGCCTTCTGGGGGGTCCAGGACCCCCAGAATACCAACAAACAGAAGTGGGAGGCAGTTAATCAGGTTATCTCAAAGAGTGGGCAAAGAACTGCTGATTTAATGTACATGCATAAGCACCCAAAACCTCAATTTAAACTATAAGCTTGAATTCCTCTAACAAAAATTTAAAAGCAACAGGACTGGAATGAGGAAGACAGAGTGACATCAAAGGCATGGGATTCGATGGGCAGATGATTTAGCCTCAAAAAAAACCCCTGAGAAAAGCACACACATTACTCTGCCCTACAACGAGCAGGGGACAAGTATGGGCATCAGCTGTGACCCACTGAGATCTAACCCAAAGGAAGATGACGAAGCTGTAAAATACAGCTTCTCATCAGCAAGTGGGGTTCTCTCTAGTCCCCTACTAGACAACCCCACAAGGCTATGCCCAGTAAAATTTAGAACTTCTAGAAACAGAAAATGAAAAAAAATCAGAACTAAAATCAGAAAAAAAAAAATCTTTAGCAATCCTTATTACAGAAGAATGAAGCTAATGTCTATGGCGCTAGAAAATAGCTCAACATTAGCCAGCAGGGGTTTTTAACATAACATGAAGTCTTCTCAAATTCGAGCCACACAAAATCACAGAGTCTTTTACTAACAGCAATTGGGAAACAGGAGTTAGCATAAAGAACAACTTCCCCAAGCACAAACACCACCCACAGGGAGCACAAGTACCATCCAGGTAGAGGCTGAACAAACATGACGACCAAGCCACTAGTGAAAGAAATGCAAAAAACAGAAGAGATCTAAGTACTACAAAAGGTGTACTTGTACATTGCTTTTTGTTTTGTTTGCCATAATAGAAATTAAACCTAGGGTCTCAAAATAGCTAGGCAAGCACACAACCTCTGAGCTACATCCCTGGCCCACCTTTTTTGGTTTTTTGAGACAGGGTCTTGCTATATAGTTCAAGCTGGTCTTGAACTCAATATGTAGCCAAGGCTGGCCTCGAACTTATGGTGATCCCCCTGCCTGAGCCTCCCAACTCCTGGGATTACAGGTGTGTGCCACCATGCCCAGCTAAAAAAAAAATGTTTTTATTTTGAAACAGGATCTCAGGCTGGCCTCAAACTTGCAATCCACCTACCTCAACCTCCTGACTAACTGGGATTAGAGGCTTGTACCACCACCCCTGGATTGTACATTGTTTGTGAGAACATAAATGGTAAAAGCTTTTGGGCTGCAATTTGGTAATGCCTATTACCTTTAAATATTTATGCTCTCTGGCTCAAATTTCATTTCCAGGGGAGAAAACAGGAGCACTCTAACTGTCTATAATTAAATTAAGCTTAGTATAAACAGTGTAATATCAAATAGCTGCTTATTTTCTTAAGTAAAAGATCTGCATTTCCTCACATAAAAACATTCAAAAATCAACCAGGCATGGGTCCACAAACCTGTAATCCCAGCCCTGTGAGAAGCTAAAGCAGGATGATCACAAGTATAAGCCCTGCTTGGGCAAATTAACAAAATCTTGTCTCAAAACGAAAAACAAAAAAAGGCTGGGGGGGGGGTGCTCACTAAAAACAATCCCCAGTACCGGGGGAAAAAGAGAGAAAGAAATGCCCAAAATCTGTAAGTTTATTGTAGATATATATGTATGTGTGTGTGCCAATATAGTATGAACCTACTTTGTTTTAAATTTACATGTTACAGACAAATCTCACAATGTGGAACAAATGAAGAAAGACACCCAAACCACACATGCTGGATGACCTATAGGTATTTAAGGTTCAATCATAAGCAAAATAATTTTTTTTTGAGACAGGGTCTCACTATGTAGTTTAGAGTTTAGGCTGCTCTTGAACTCACTAAGTAGCCCAGGGTGGCCTTGTACTCGTGGCAATTCTCTGACCTCAGCCTCCCAAGTGTTAGGATTATAGGCATGTACCACCAAGTCTGGCACAAAATAAATCTTGTGAAGATTTTCCCCCCTTTGATAGTATCAAACAGAGCTACATAAGAAGTCTTGAAGCCAGATATGGCAGTGCAGGCCTATAATCCCAGCACTCCAGAAGCTGAGGCATGAGGATCGCAAATTTGAGGCCAGCCTGGGCCCAGGCCAGTCTGGGCTACAAGTTCAAGGCTACCCTATATGATAACAAGACCCTGTCTCAAAAAACCAATAAACAAATAATATGTGTTAAGAACAAGCAAAACCTGCTATTCTTGGTGGAAGAGCCCTGGAAGCAGCTCATAGAGAAAGCAAGCCTGTCACTTCAAAAATAAAAGATATGGGGCGGAGGATTTAGCTCAGTGGTTTCACCGCCTGCCTCGCAAGTGCAGGGACCCGAGTTCAATCCCCAGTACCAAATAAATAAATAAATAAATAAATAAATAAATAAATAAAAGATATGGCCATCTGCTCAGAGTTCAGCGAGGAACACACAGTCCTAGCCACGCAGACAGCCATGCTGAAGCAACAGCTGGAAGTCAGTCACGTTATTCCAGAACCCAACATCACATCCTTGAAATACTAAATATACCTGAAAATGCAGCAAGACCCCCCCCAAAACATTCAGAGGGACGAGTTACCTGGGGCTCCCCAGATTGTAGAGATCTCTCTCTCTCTGAGAGTTAAATAAACAGCCTCACGCCCAAAAAGCTCTTTACCTAGGACAACAGTTACTAAAGAGAACCTCAACTGCCAAGACCCATGGAACATTCACACTGACAAATGGAAAAACAGAGGCAAGGAACACATTCGACAGGTTGGTCGCTGAGTCTCCAGACACTGCCAAAATCAGCACAACTCACTTTACAGCCAGCTCTTTACACCAATCCATTACATTTTTCTAGAAAAACACACTTCCATCATTCCTGTCATTCACATTTCCCACTTGTGCCTATAAGCACAGTGAGGAGAGGACAAGGAGACGACACCAAGTTTCCCAAGATTTGAGCAACTGGCACAGATCACAGGATCTCTATCTGGATGGTGGAGGTCACTGGCTAAACAGCTACTGTAGCCCAGGACTCACCTCTCCTCCTTGTGCTGCAGTGAAAAGAGGACCAGGGTCACACAGGCCACTGGGTATGGAGAAGAAAGAAGGCTCAATTGCTGCCCTGAGTTCAGTACGGCCCTGAGGAAATTCTGAACTAATGCTGGCATGACAGTGGTCTAATGACTTTAGTTTTTTTACAATCTTGGTGATCAATAATTTGCCCCTCCTGGGGACTGAACCCACAGCCTTTCTCATGCTAAGCACATGCTCTGCCACTGAGCTACACCGCCACTCAAATAATTTATTTTTAATTATAAAAATTCCAGTGTGTCTCAGTGGTTGGGTGCTTGCCTAGCATGTGCAAGGCCCAGTTCAATTCCCACCACTGAAAAAAAGAAAAGAAAATTCTAAATTAAACATTCCAGATGTCTAATTCCTTTCATTAACTTTGAAGCCAAAATGTTTTCTATTTCTAAATCAAAGAGTCCTATTTAAAAGAGCTGCATGTTAAAAGTTAAGGCACAGCTAGGAAGGCAGTGAGATATGCACATGGATGACTCACCAATACTCTGTCTCCGATTTTGAGCTCACGCTCTCCTTTCTTGATGGAGCCAGCCTCCGAAAGGTTGGAAATTGACTCACTGGTGGTTTTTGTAAGGTTGCTGACCTGAGGCATGGCTCCAGGTTCCTTGGCTGTCAGCTGGGAGGACTTATGGGGGATATGTGAAGGGGTGGCCAGGGAGGAGCCCGTCACGCTGGCTGTAGAAGTGGACAGAGGTGAAGCAGCTCTGGACGCGTGAGCCGTCTGGAGGCCATTGGCTTCATCTTCTGCTTGTACCTTCCGTGATAACTTCGAGGGGCGGGTAAATATGCCCTTTAGAGGTTCACACTGGAAATATCGAACTCCTGCCACTGAACCGTCGTTCTTGCCTATAGGTTCATCTAAAACAATCCCAGCCCACTGGCCTGGTGCAAACTGGGTTTCCCCAAGGAACTGGATATATCCAGGCTTGTTTCCATTCACCCACACACGCTCCCCCACTCTAAAGTCATCAACAAATTCCTCTTGAGTCTCAGAGGATGGAGTGCTTGAGGCTTTTTCACTGGATATTGTTTTTTCTACTGGAGATGCAACTGAAAACAAGGTCAAAAAGGTTAATTTCATATTCAAGAAGCCAATCTCTAACTTAATGTAAAAAAAAAAACTAGAAAAAGCAACAGCAAGACTAGCCCATACATAACTTACAGAGGAGTTCTAATTTTTTTTTTTAAGCAAAGAGGAAGAGTACTTGATCCATCACTAGCATTTTCAAAGCTGCCAAAACTCAATGAGCTGGAGGTGAGGTTTATCCTATTTTTAGTTAAAACTAGAAGTAGTTGGGCATGGTGGCTCACAACTGCAATCCCAGCACCAGAAGGCTGAAGCAAGAGGATCATCTCAAACTCCAGGCCAGCTTGGGCTACATAGTGACTTCAAGGCCAACCTGAACTACATAGGAAGACCCTGTCTCAAAAAAAAAAAGACTAGAAGTAGCCAGGATGGCAGAACACACCTATAATCCCAGCACTCAGGAGACCGAGACAGGAGGATCAGCCTGGACTACACAGATACTCATTTAACTTGTTCCGACTTCTGATGAGGTGTGCTTTTCACACTTATGACCCACCACTTGCATTTACAACCCATCTTTTTTTTGTACAGGTCTGTACATCTTAGAGCCTTAATGTCTTTCTTTTATACAGTACACTTTGTTTGTACATTACTGTAATTTTTGCTCATTGTACTATACAATATAGCAGTCTCACATTCTGTTATACATTACAGTACTGCTTGTAAGAGTTATGCAAATAAAAGCAAAGTCATCACGTTGGAGCTTCCCTTGACCATTTCTTTGTTTGTTTTTTTATTTTTTTAGTACTGGGGATCGAACTCGGGTCCTTGCACTTGTGCAACAGGCGGCGAAACCACTGAGCTAAATCCCCAGCCCAACCATTTCTTTGTTCTGAATATTGTACTGTACATACTATATACAATTCCTCATTTAGTGACCAATCCATTTAATGACCTAGCCACAGGAACAGAATTTGGTCCTTGGCTGGGGATTTAGCTCAGTGGTTCCAACGCCTGTCTCATAAGCACAAGGTCCCGAGTTCAATTCCCCGGTGCCCCCCCCCC